GCGCCTCTCCTTCGGTCCATCCCCTGAGCTGTGCTAGGACCCAGCGACACCGAGCAGCCTGTGCACAGAGGGCCCTCCTCGCTCAGAAGCACTCCAGAAACGGAAATCCACTCTCTTTGGCAGTCCGGCCCCTTGTTCTGCTTGTTCTCTTGTTCTGCGCAATCCCTCTGTGTGGGGCTCTCTTTTTTGAAACGTCTTCCAGCTCTGAGCCGTGTTTTCCCTCCTGTATCCTAAGCCAGGAAAGCGCCGCCTTGGATAACATCTCCTGATTGTGAAACTGCTGGGCCCGCCTCCCTGTCTCCTCAGACAACAAGAGGCAGCCCCTCCCTGCCCTGTCCTCCATCCTGAGGGGCTTCCTTTTGTCTTTCGGGGTTTCTCCGCCCCCAGGACAAGCTCTGGGGGGTCAGGGCACCTCCAGCAGAAAGGAGGACTCGAGAGGCCTTGGCTGGGAGTGAGCGGCTGGCAGGTGTCTCAGCCTCTGGGTCGGGGTGTGGAGTGGCGGTCCTTACAGCGGGAGGGCAGGGAAGGACGTCAGGGGCAGTGACAAGGAAACCGCTTTTCATTCAATGTCAAGGGGTGATCAAGGTGACTTGACAGTTCCGTGTTGATTAAAACACATATGTGGACGACATGTCCAAGTATGCCCACCGCCTTCCTAAACAGGCCCAAACCCCAAGGCTGCTCATTTCCTCCTTGAATCAATCAAGCGCGCGCGCTCTCTCTCTCTCTCTCTCTCTCTCTCTCTCTCTCTCTCTCTCTCATCTCTATCTCTATCTCTTCTCTCTTCTCTCTTCTCTCCTGTTGGCTTCCACTACTGTGAGGATGAAGATGATGAGGAAAAGGAGGAGGAAGAGGAGGAGGAGGAAGAAGAAGATGACAGTCACTCAACTGAGATTTCAGAGGACACACGTGGAGGTCTTCAGGCGGATGTGCCTGATGGGTGGAGCCTGCACCTCCAATCAGGACTCAGGCTCCTCGCAGGCCAGTGCAGAACCATAGTCATCCCTCTGCCCCCTGGTCTCAGAGGGACCAGGAGGGACCAGGTGGACAGGCCCCGGAGGAGGTGTGCATACAGATGGAGGGAGCACCTCACCTTGGCCTTGGGTCCTTTTCCGCTCCCACCAGATGCACATTCCCCACCCTCGCCCCTCATTGGCCAGCTCTGTCTTGTGTCCACCACGCCCTGTTATCAGTTGGCTGCCAACTAATTCCCCACCCAGTCCCAGCTCGGCCCAATCCCATCCCCAACGTATCCCCAGGCGGGAACACCTCACCAGTCACGTCAGACAAGTGTACCCAACAGAACGGCCCTTCAAACGTGAGGTAGGAGGCCTTCTTCCTGTCTTGGTTTTCAGCTGCCAACTAATTCCCCATCCCAGTCCCAGCTTCCGGCCCCCACCCTCCAGCTGGCCAGTGGCTAATAAAGATAAGAGGTGTCAACCTCCTCCTCAAGAACATCCTTTTCTCCCAGAGGAATGGGAACACTGCCAACTTTGCAAAGAGTGCATCTCTAAAGGCACAAGTTCAGTACATCTTATCTGTGTATGTTCACACATACATGTTAAATGTATACATTTATGGTCCACTTCCTTCCCAAGGACTGAATGAGGATTGCTATAGGACCCCATTCAACAGAACTCAAAACATTAATAGGGAAAGACTAAGATCCGTTAGTGGTCAGAGCGGGGAGGTAGGCATCCCTGTTCCATGGCCCGGCCGGTGTGTCTGTGAAGCTACACATGCCATTGGACCGTGGCCTTCCCAGCACACGAAACAGATCATTTGGGAAGGAGACCCCCTCCCCTGATTCCTGCACACGGAGCTCTTCTCTCCCGGCCAAGATGGCGCTGGGAGGTCTAGTAAGGCCTGGGGCAGAGCGAAATTGACAGCTTGTCCCTCCAACTGTAGGTTTTAGCGGTGGCTCAGGGAGGCCCGAGAGAGCTGGAGAAAGGAGATTTTGCTGAAATTGGTTCGTTTTCAGAGCTGTGCTGTCTGCCACGAGGCCAGAACAGACACGCTGTGGACACACACACACACACACACACACACACACACACACAGGGGCAGCCTCCGTGGATGGGGATGGGGTCTTACCTGGAATGGAATGAGGGCCTCTAATTCATCGCTGGAGCGAGTGTCTGTGTGTGCACCGCCCTCATCGTTGGGGTGTTCTTTCTGTGATGAAAGCAAATATGGGTTTCCGTTCTGAAAGTAACCCCCGGGCTCACTGGGAGCCTGGCCCTGGCCCTGGGTGCAGGCCACCGTGGCCACAGCGGTGCGATCCCCGCCCCCTCCCCCTCGCAGACATCGGACAAAGCGGACACACAGCTTAGGAAGGTGAGATGACTTTTGAAAATTAGACAGACTCTTCGAGGGTGTATTTCCTTGATCTCTAGACCTGCCCCCATTAACCCGCACTCGGAGACAATCCGGGCCGCTGTCCGGGAAGGCGGCTCCGGTGGGTTGAAACTGACATTGTATATCTGACACAACACGGATTTTTTTACTTTTTTTTTTAATGCCCGTTTCCAAGGAATCAGCTCCTGCCGAACGTGGCCTGATAGAAATTCACGATAAAACTCTCAGGGATTCTGCTAATCGTAAAGTGCCACTTCACAGGCAATTTGTCCCCATGGAGAACGGCGCCCATCGCTGAGGTTCTTTCTCGGCTGTTCTAAACTCCACCTCGTCGAACGCTTATCTTTCCGCTGTACAGAGCGGCACTGTTCATGATAAATTTCAGGAAGAAGGGAGGAGAGAAGGCGTGTGATGAGTAACTGGGACTAAACGCCAGCCAAGGGGATGTCTGTCTGTCTTAGGAACAATTCAGCCCATGCACCGGTTGGCTCAGTGGATAGAGCGTTGGCCTTCAAACTCAAGGGTTCCAGGTTCGATTCTGGTCAGGGGCATGTACCTTGGTTGTGGGCACATACCTAGTAGGGGGTGTGCACGAGGCAGCTGATCATGTTTCTCTCTCATCGATGTTTCTAACTCTCTATCCCTCTCCCTTCCTCTCTGTAAAAAATCAATAAAATATATTTTAAAAAAGAAAAAAAGAATTCGGCCCCTGAGCCGTGACTGTTCTGGGCCTGGATGGTCGGCTTTGCTCTCTCAGGACCTCTCGCTGCTGTGATACACGTGTGAGGTGGTGCCTGGTGCTTTCTCTCGGCGCCATTGGGGATGTCATGGTTCCAGCTCTTTAAGCTGTGACGGTACACAAGGATCTTCCTCTCTGGCTCTTCTCATATGGTGCTGTCTATCAATCAAAAACTACCTTTCAGAGCTTGTCGCTTCTTTATCTTCTGTTGCTTAAACAACCACCTTCTGTATTGTTGAGAAAAACCCAAAGCTGTCTGCTTTTGTGGGCTCAGGTCTCTGGCAAGCTCAACCCCTCCCCCCCTCCTACACTCCCCCCCCACCTTCTCACCCCCATCTGCTTATAATTTAATGCTCTGTATGTTTTAATCATTTCATTAAGCATGACTTTATTTTGAAATGCAACTAATTCTTCAGTTCAAACAAACAGTCAGCAATTCTGAAAATGAGGCCCTTCTTTTCCTCTGCATAGAGGTTGGCTTGGAAGAAATGTCACACCTATTTTGAGAAGGGTGAAAGAATTCAAGGGCTCTTGGTGTTTTTTTTTAAAATCATTGCTTCTTAAAAGTGGGCAATATCTTAGAAATTTCTTGATCTCCACAGGTATCTGACCAACTTTTGAAGAAATGTTCCCCTGTCTTTCTGAATACTTTGTGATAACGCCACTATTATTATTATTTAGGCTTACAGGCAAATACACTTTAAAAAACTATGTCATAAAAAACTATGTCATCCCTATATTGTGACAAAGAACACAAAGAGGGAGCTGGTGTCACTATCGACCTTGTATATTTTATGAGCTTATTTTCTTCCTAGGAGTTGATTAAGGCAAGTAGGATCATACTTAAGGGGGTAACATTCAAACATATTCTATAACAAAAAATGAAACTGCTGCCGAAACCGGTTTGGCTCAGTGGATAGAGCGTCGACCTGCAGACTAAAGGGTCCCGGGTTCAATTCCAGTCAAGGGCATGTACCTTGGTTGCGGGCACATCCCCAGTAGGGGGCGTGCAAGAGGCAGCTGATCGATGATTCTCTCTCATCGGTGTTTCTAACTATCTCTCTCCCTTCCTCTCTGTAAAAAATCAATAAAATATATTTTTTTAAATGAAACTACTGAAATTTCAGGAGTATATTGATGTCCCAACTTATAACATAAAATTGATGTCTTTATTTTCAATACTTGTATTAATATCCTATCTAATAAAAAGAGAAATATGCAAATTGACCATCACACCAAGACACAAGATGGCCACCCCTGTGGGATCAAAAATGGCTGCCCCCATGTGGACACACGATGGCCGCCACAAAATGGCCTGCAGGAGAGGGAAGCTTTGGGAAGTTAGGGGTGACCAGGCCAGCAGAGGAGGGCAGTTAGGGGTAACCAGGCCTACAAGGGAGGGCAGTTGGGAGCCAGCAGCCCCGGATTGGAGAGGGTGCAGGTTGGGCTGAGGGACCACCCCCCCACCCCCCCGCATGAATTTCATGCACTGGGCCTCTATTCTAATAATAAAATGTTGGTTCAACTTTTTAGGAGCACAATAGCCTTTCACATACAGGAGACACTTAAGTATTTGTTGAAGCATCCTATATAATAAAAGGCTAATATGCAAACTGTCCCCTTGGACTGGGAGTTTGACCACTTGCTATGAGGTGCACTGACCACCAGGGGGCGGCGCAGAACAAAGGAAGGCCCTGGCTGGCAGCAGGAAGGTCCCGATCAGCCCTGATCACCAGCCAGGCCTAGGGACCCCACCCATGCATGCATGTGGTGCATTGGGCCTCTGCTTGGTATATAAACAGGTAGAATACACATCAATGTTTAACATTTGCATCTTACTGGAGCCTTAAGAGCAAATGGTACAGTGCACTTTCTGATAAAGGCTCTTCCAGAGAGGATTCCC